TTGTGGAGGGAGAGCACTCGTTGCTTTTTCAACTATAGCTATCCAGAAACTGTATTTCGCGGCAGTATATATACACTGTTCGTTGATTTTTTTCCCAAGAGATTTCTCCTTCTTGCTATCGCTCTAACAGTGCTCGGAAACTAAGATATAAATTTGAACTGTGATTCGGATAGGAAAATAATATATTGAATAAGAATTTACTGTAAGCAACATAATTATTGATTTTTAACGTCACCTATTCAAAATAATAAAAAAAAATGTGGCAAAAAAAGTATTCTGAAGTATCAGAGACCAATTGGTCGTCTAAGTATATTCAAGTAGGTTCTTGGGCGCCAATCTGGGTGTCTAGCCACCTAGTCATGTGGAAGATGTATAGTCGTGCCATTTCTTCAACTTACAGTAGCAATTGCATTAGATCTTGCAACACTGTGTGCAGGTGGAGAACGCATTAAAAAATTACTACCACAAGGCTTGTGCACTCGTTGACATTCGAATAAACTATATAATCAGAATTACCAACGATTTTCCTGTCCCAGATACAGTGGTTGTTTTGTGTGGAGGAGCAAACTATAACAAAAAAAGAGGAATAGAGCCGATAATGACTTTGCTCTTGATGTTTTTCTGCGGGCAAGCGTACCTATCAAAATGCCATGGTTTTCCTGGGCGAAAGCTGAAGAATGTGTCTCCTACTAGCATGAGTAATCGATGGGAACAATGTACGCAGTGTTTTTATTGTATTCACCGCAACCGCCAGCGTGTTTCGAATCTCATGCCTATCCTGAAATATAATGCTAACGTGTGGGACGAGGCGCTATTCGTCAGGGCCACCTACGAGTTAGATGTGGCAGGCTCGTAAGAAAATAATTGTAATAATTGCTGTAATTATGGTTGACGAGCTTGATACTGCAGTAATTATATTTACTCTATCTAATTTGCCAATATAATATACTACAGTATTTTCCGATCCCTGCCAGGAATGAATACAGTAACCCAAGCTTACGTACTAGTACGTGGATGCCGCCTGACCCGACGAACTATCAGAGTCAGAGACAGAAGCATCTGAGGTATAGTCCTCGTCATCATCGTCATCATCGTCGTCATCGTCGTCATCGTCGTCATCGCCGTCTGCCTTGATGCGTGCCCAAACGAGACCTACCGAATCGAGCTCTTTGCCGCAAGTGCCGTAGAAACCTCCCAGCTGATAACCCTTGGGTGCGCTATCTTTCCCTATGTTCTTCGTTGGTCGACCACCCGAGACGGTCTTGTTATTGTTCGTGACGAACTTAATGAACTTGATGCGCGTGTGGTCACCCTTCTCGCCCCAATGGGCCTCCACACCGGTGATGCGCTCGTCTGGACCCAGCTCGAGCGTCTTCAGAGTTCCACCACGCCCACCGTGGTACAAAATAGTTGGCATACCCGATGTGTCAGTGATATCGAGGCCGACGCCGTTGACACGTTCTCCGGAGCGGATCATGATGGACTGCACGGTTTGGCCAGGAACCACCAAGTCCACGTCAGAGTATTTCGTACCGTGAGGACCGCCAAAAGCCTCGCTCAGTAGCACGCCGTCGTCTAGAGCGGCAACTCCATGGGTCATGGTTGCTGATAGTGCCAGCGCCTGGAAGAAGAACTTCATCGCTTCGATGGAAAATCGAAATTGAGGTCTAGTGCCGCCTCACCTCTTTGCCGATTCTGACAGTGCCCTGGTCGTACAGCGCATTCTGAGCTGTGTCGTCGTCATACCGCTTGGTGTCGGTCATGTCGTCGCGCAATCGAAGATGGCAACTCGCCATTGGAAAGACAGAGCGCTTTTATTATGAGGAATTCGCCAGGATAGCTAGGCAGCGCTGAAATCGTCGGATTCGACGATTTGATTGTTTGTTTAGGTAGTGCAATAGGACTCCTATTAGGAGGGAGTTTCCGACTAGGGATTTGCCGACCTAAGTTTCGCAATCAGATATGACCCCACCGGCTTGGCACAGTCTATCAGTGGGTAGCATATAACGCTTGTTGAGACTAATAACAAGTCCTACTTTAGAGTTCGCTTGCCGTCGTTTTCCTTTTCCTAGGTAAGCGAGAATGTCAAATGGTTACTTATTGGTATATTCTTACTGAGAATCTCATCCCTCTAGAGTGTATTTTTCTCTACAGTGCTGTCAGCTTTGTACTGAGCAGTCTTTGAGGACGCAACGTGTCGGAGGTGCAAATGCTGATGAACATATAATATTACTTACAGGGTGCTGTTAATTCTAAATCATCAAAATGCGATCATCCCCGGGTCTTTTTATCATCTGACCCACCACAATTCATTTTTCTATTGTATTTCCAATCTGTGCGAACCCTGGCAACACTGTAGAACAAGCGTAATCGATTTTTGATACTGCTACTATTATCTGTGTGGGATACACTGGCCAAGAATTAAGAATAGGTTGATGCACATTTTCTAACGGTTTGAAGATGGAAGCTCTTGGAAAAAAATCAACGAACAGTGTATATATACTGCCGCGAAATACAGTTTCTGGATAGCTATAGTTGAAAAAGCAACGAGTGCTCTCCCTCCACAATCATTTTCATCCTAAAGAGTGTCGTCAACATCCATACAGTAGAGTTCAGGTTGGTACAGCCATCTTAGTGGTACAAGGGATAGCGTGAGAAGCAATCCTCGAGAAGATTGCACTCCACCGTCATGCTTGCATTGCTGAACAGGATCGATATGTCTTCCACATTGCCTAACAACTTCAGCAGCGGCGATAACATATCTGCATGAGAAATCAACCCAACCATACGCTTGGTTGAGTTGTCCCAGGAGAAACGCACAGTACCACTCACAACTAGTTGTTCCCCTAGTAACTTACCAGCGATGCGAGTCAATCTTTTCTGATTAGCTGGTCTTCCTCGAAAACCATTACACAGAAAGACTTCATCAACACTTCTTTTGCTGAACGTGAAGCTCGTGGTTGTCCTAGCCACGAGAGAATTCTCAGTGATTTGTTGCACTTGCTCGCACTGGAAGCGAACATCGCCAAAGAGGTGGCTGAAGACCCCCCAGGTTCTCGCCAACGCCTCAAAACCAGACATCGTTCCCGCGTCAAGATCCGGAGCCATGCATAGTCTTAAGAAGTCTAGTTCGGCGACTCGTGAGCCGTCCGGCTCGATAAATCCACGACGAAACACTCGAAAATACTCCGTCACCACGTCGTGCATCGTGATATGTGGTGCATTCCCAATGAAGAGTTTGTTACGCCGAGTCCTCAGGTACTGAATCTCATCACGAAGTTTTCCATTGCATTTGTGCAGATTTTCCATCAACGCCTTCTGCCTGAGACGGTATCGCTCTTGGCTTTTTCGATGGCGCTCTCGGTGAATGGCCTCCACGAGATCCTGTCGTTTGTTTGTGGATAGATCAACTCTGAATCGAGAAGGTCGGCCGAGAACTTTTCTCGTGTGTGTAGTTGGATTGACCACCCGAATAGGCTCCACGTCAGTAACGGGGTCGAACTTGTGCGCGCACGGAAACACGGAGTTTCTTGGCACCATGGTATTCTTGTTTGTAGCGGACACAAAGGAGTGCTTTCGAGTTCGAGCTCGCTGTAGCACACAGGCGATAACATCTTGACCGAGTGACTGGAAGTTAGGCGGGTGAAGCACGTCTGATGACATGGTCGATTTGAATTCTTGGTCTAAGCTGTAGTTGTCAACTATTAGTTGATGACGGTTCTTACTGGATTTGACAAAATGTATTGTGTGGAGTTGGACGGTACTATTGCTGGGTAGGATCTGCTTGTAGACCGATAATTCGGTCCGTAATTTACACACTCACGTATCATGATATTAGTGTTATTATCCTTTCCGCAGCTAGTATGCATGGTTTGCGTGATGTATGTATGGCTTTAATAATACTAATTACCTGCTGTTACGAATAGTTCCTTGGTTACCTTTTAGGTTCATTCTTTTATAACCATTGTTCTTATTCTTACGCATTATTCACATGTCATCTCCGCACGGATTTTTCAATTTACACAGGACGTTTGTAGAAGCTATGGTAGGCCTGCTTCACAGTTTGTCGGGCTTTGTCATTTGATTAGTATTTGACGAATGCGTATTGAAATTCACAGACGATCGTGTGTACGAATCACCGATTATTACTAATGGTACCAGTGATTAGTATGGTACCAGTAATCACCAATACTCATCAACACTGAACATTTGTGCTGCTCTACAGTAACACGTCGAAATCCGTACTGTCCAAAGCCCAAACCTTCAAAATTTGCATATTGTCGCTTCAGCTGGAACTTGACTGTGTCGTCATTCGCGCAGCCTCGCGAGTACTCTATCTTGCCAATCGCACTTAGAACTTCTGTGTTCAAATGAAATCATACGAAGTCATGTCACTCTTGTAGGGCTGGAGTCAAACCTATATCTGATAGTCGCAGACATGTCCACCTCAAATAGCTCTTCAGTAGAAAAATTAAAAAAAGAAATTAGATTTTACTATGACCACCTTAAACGAGCGGATACGAGCAAATAACTGTTAATGTGGACGGGCCGAGCCTCAACTGGCCTCGCATTGCACTCTCCATGTAAAATAAACGTATTTTTTTTAGGATGTTTCGGATTATTTAGGACAGAAAATCCAACACCCGCTGACCACAAAGAATGTTTTTCTAACGCGCTCGATTTAGGTTCTCAGCTGCCTCTAGAGCTGAGAACAAACTACTTTTGCCCAGAAACATTTTTGTTGCCTTATTCGACTTGAAATCATCGAGTGTTCGAACGCCAAATACATTTCATACAATGTAAAATAGTAGTTGGGAGTGACTACTATCTGTCTGCATCTCCTAGCAACCCGTAAATTTACTTGAAGGGCCAAGCTTTCTCGATTTTGTCTTGGAAGGTGCCATCTTTGAAAGGTGTGTTGGCGCTACCAAAGGACACCGCATTGAGAGCTCGTCTGGCATCATTTGTCATCTGGCCCCACATGATAAGATCCTGGAACTTACCACCGTCGCCAGTGATAGCAAGGTCGTGATTCTTAGGCCAGGAGTGCTTGTATCGAACCTTGAGACTGGTGCCGTCGATCACCCACGGAGGACACGGAGCGTGCCTCGCATAACCACCGTGGGATGACACCGAACAGCCAAGAATCTTCGGCTCCGATACATCGGGATTGTCAATGAACACAATGGCTTCCTCCCAGTCGTGTCGGTGGCCCAACCCGTGCGACGGTGAGTCCTTCGGGAAGTACCACGAGTACATGATGACCCAGACACCCTTCAACCAGGCTGAGCGGCCGTATACTTGGGAGCCATGGCCAGACCCACCGCACTTGCCCCTGGATTTACCAGAAGTGTGAAGGCCGCCACTAGTTTCGCCGAATTCATTCACAGCAGGGTACGGCTCACATCCCGTCCTGATTTGAATTTGAGGTTTGAACTTGACACCGGCCTTCTCGGAAATCGTCACCGGCTCGGGCTGAGGAAATGGCTTCACGTCTTTGTGAGCAATTTTTTTCTCAACCCACGGACCCGGATCGGGCGTCGGGGCAGGAGTGGGGGCGGGTGTTGGTGGAAGGGTGGGTGCAGGAGTCGGTGGAAGTGTCGGCTTAGGTGTCGGCGGGAGAGTCGGCTTAGGTGTCGATGGACGTGTCGGTGCAAGTGTCGGTGGGAGTGTCGGAGCTTCAGTTTGTCTGGGATCTAGTCCGGGTACGTTTGGCGAAGGAGCACGAGTTAAGTCGCCAAAATCGATAGTGTGATTCGACTGCTTTGGTGTTTCAATAGGTCCTTGAATTTGGTGAGGATACCCCTCTTGCGAGCCGACTTGGTCTGCTTGCGATGCCGAACCGTCCTTGGCTTGGACGGAGGCTAGAACCGTAAGACAGCCCCAGAAAACAGCGTTGAGGTTCATACAATTGATATCGCGGATATGGAATGTTAAGTCCCAGTGTGAGAGAAAATTGCAAAATGCTATGATGTCGTGTCGAGGTTGATAGAAACAGCAGATCATAAACGTTATCTTGCTGTAGTGACTTTAGTTCTGCACTTGTCGGTCTTGAAGTAGTTACATGTGTTTTACAATGCATAGACAAAGTGATGTTCCACCGGGAGCCTGTCTTTGTGTGTGAGAGGGCTTTCGAATTTTGCATATGGCACAATCGGAAAGTACAAGTTGCATTTATTAAAATCCGGAGGAAGTATTGTAGTATTTCGAAAAAAAAACTAAACATGTACAGTAATAATACATAAATGGCCGTCAATCTCTTTTGTCTAGCTCAGTTGATGAAGAAGGGCTACGAACTAATTATACATCAATGTAAACAATACCTCCTCCATTTTTAAAAACTAAGCTGATTTAAGAAATGTTGTATTTTGTCCTTGTTCACTTGAGCCACCGTTATACGTAGCATCACTTATACTACAATACACCGTTTCTCGATCAAAGCGATAAATTCTCCGATCAAAGTGAGAATTGCTAAATTCAAAGTGAGGTCATACACGGCACAGGATACAACGTCTCGTGTTTATGTTTCGCGAGGGATATTTGTGGCACGATAGAATCGACCAGTCAACAGCTTTGTACAAAATATAATACTTGGAAGGAGATTGGATGGTAAGCCTATAAGTGATTACCGGTTATCTCACTTGAATTCTCACTTTGATCAGGAAATGGTGTATTTCTAAAGTAAAATACTATTTTAACAGTGTGCTCATTAATAAGATGGATCGTAACTCAATAATAAAAAAAATACTATTTTAACAGTGCTCATTAATCAGATGGATCGTAACTCACCTCTAACGATTTGGTCGATCCCAATTTGCATCTTTGATTAGTACATTCGCTTGGGTAAACAATGTGTGGACAAAGCAAGACTGGCGGTACGATACTGTACAAGGCACATATTGGCAAAAAGAAAAAAAGTAGGCAAGAATCCCACGGAAGTGGTAAGGGAGAACAATGTAGAGGAGGCAGCGGTAGTATCAGCCATTTTGATTTCTTTCAGCAACGCGGGACAGGATGAAAGAGTTTTCCAGCTTCTCGCTGCAGCGGTGTTGGTGAAAAGTGCTGCTACAGCCCTTGACATGAATGTTCTACTGGGGGAAACCTTTGGTGAACCCCACGGCAACAAATACTAGGATGTGGATCTCATTTCACCCTGTCAAATTGTTGGGGTTTATCACGGCCTGCTTTGGCGAGCGTGTCGACGCTGTCAGCATTAAAGTAACGGATTCACCGGGGCATACGACCACCATGTACCACGACGGCGGCGGTGGTGAGACGCAAAAGACGCGCCCCTGCCGATGGGGAGTATAAATTGGGCATGGAGGTCCACTGGGGTAAGCATTGTGGACGCGCACATATCAAGTACAGCCATTTTACCATCAGTTCGGGTAATATCTTCTCTGGTGGAACCCCGACGGAAAAAAATCGGCATGGACACCATGCCAGAAGATTACCAATTGGGCGGCTTCAGTTGCTCGAGTGATGAAGAGCTGGGCTCAGGGGGAGCCGTTTGGACAGAGTTGTGCAACTATTCTTATTTGACGCGCCCAGTTACCCCGAGTGGTTTGAAGTGTTGTGGAATTTGCCCAAGCGTTCGATTGTACCAAGGCGAAGCGTCAGCAACAGGATAAGTATTGGCACCAACAAACAGTTCAGGCGTCTATGTATACTTTTAACCAGGGAAATGAATTTTCTATTTCCCACGCAATTGAAAATAAAAAATAACAGCACTACTTGATATAAAACTGCTGTCTCGTAGCTACTATCGTTTTTTTTAACCAATACTGATGTTCTCAGACTAGATGAAGTGGTTTTGAATGGGCCAGTAGGAGTTTTAACGAGCGAAAATACTACATAATGATCGACACGTAGTAAGCGTTAGCGTGTAAAAAGAAAAGTTTCAGCGTAACAATGCCGTCACTTGCCAAAAAACGTAACTGGACTCAACTAGAGTTGGAATTCCCTGTGCAGGATACGATAGCAATGTGATTAGTGCAAGGCAACCGAACAGTTACTACTTGATTGAGAGCTTGGTTCGTCAATGAGATACTTCAATACGGCCTTAACGATTCCATCAGTGCCCTGACATTTCCAATTGGCATTCTCCAACTCCCGTAACTCCACTACCGGAAAATATATGCCAGCGTAACCAGAATGGACTATCCTAATCAAGCCAATCAGAGAGCAGATACCGACAACGCGTTGTTTCGGTTACGACACATTTATGCATTTAATTGGATCAAATATAGACCTGAACAATCAATCCTGGGAACCCCTTTACATGTAGCTATGGCGGGCATAATGCTTGCTCAGATCGGCACAAACTTTAACGAGGACCTTACTAGCGAGAATGGTATAGTCAACTGATTTTTTTTATAGCAGTGGCGGCAGCAGCACCTTTCGTCTACAGTGACTTAAATGGTGGACAGCACTGCCGACTGAATTTAACCAGTTCAAATACATGCTATTCGGGGTTTCGAGGTCGAAACTGGGGTTTCCAGATCTTGTCGGGCGCAGGCGCGTGGAGCGCAGAAACTCCCGCCCTTTCGGGCGGAGGAGAAGGCTGGCCTGTTGAAAGAGCCGGACCTCTGGCCGGGATGTGAGGAGCCTTAGTACAGTGGAGTGTGAGCGTTGAGCAGCTGCTCTGGATCTGTAGAAGGTGGCTACGAGGAAACGTGTGGCTCAGGAGAGCACAGGGAGGAATCAGTAGGATAGATAATGACAAGTCTAATCTCACTCCCTCTTTTGCATTATCAACCATAAGCGCACCCACGATCTAAGGATCTTTCTACAGGTTATGAGCCCAAATGACCACTGCCAATGCCGGAGACGCCCGCGACGGCGCGGAAGCGCCAACGCCGGCGCCCAGCCGCGAAAGGGTTGGAATGGCGGGTGATGCCGAAGAGAAGAGCACCGCCATCGTTCGCGAAAGGGACGATGGCAACATCCCCGGCGGTCACACAGAGACCACCGAGGACAAGGGAACCGACAACATGACGAGGATGCTCGCATTGATGGAGGGATTGGTCGGACGGCTTGAACGACTTGAGGAGTCGAAGACCAAGATGGGAGAGAAGTTGGACAACGAGGACAGGCGTGCGCGCGACGTTGACCACCCCATGACGCCACCAATGAACTCCAGTCTATTTGCGTCCGCCCTAGGGCGAGGCGCGCGAATGCACCTTGACTCGTTGGCTGGTTCTCCAAGTACGCCGCTCACGTCGACTCCGAGGAGACACGTGGCGGCGCCACAGTACTTTGGGTATCAGCAACCCGGCTATGGGATGCCGATACCTGAAGTGCAGCAGCAATACGCGGGAATGCAAGCGGTACCAGGGAATGGACCTGCGGGTCCGGTACCACAGCCCCGAGGGGCGCAACCGCAGGCTGGAGCCGGTCGGTTTCCGGTTCAGAACCGAGAAGATGGTCCGAAGTATCCGGACGCCAGACAGAAGAAGTTGGCCATCAGGCCGTTCGACGGGAAAGAGTTGTACGTGGGGCTCGGATCCGGCTTCCTGGAATGGGGCCGTAGATTTGAAAGGCAGGTAAACTTAGGCCTGTCCGCGTGTGGTTTCGCGTGGCCCGAGGATGTAAAGGTAGACTTGCTAGGGCACTATCTATCGGGCACGGCGGAAAGATACTACAACAAGCAAGTGGAGTCCTGGTGGGGACAGTTACCGACGCTACAGTACGTGATGGAGAAGATGCTAGAGGCTTTCAAGACCAATATCACGCCGGCACAGGCGATGAAGTTGTTCAATGCTCCCAAGGAGAGCAAGAGAACGTGGCCACAGCATTACATGTACTTAGTGGCCGTGTCGGAGGCCAGCAGCGGCGGTTGTGACTACTTAGTATTGAACAATATCGTCCAGTACGCCTCCACTGACCTGCGTACGGTTCTCATGGCTAAGGTGGACAGTTCGAGGACTGACCATTTACAGCAGGCAGAGGAACTGGCACACTTCGCGCAGTCTTGGGAGCTGGAGCCGGCAAAACACCGGAACCTGGGAAAGGAAGTAGTGGCAGCCGTGGGCGAAGAGACACGGCGGTGCCACGAATGCAATAAGGTGGGGCACCTGCGGGCAGCCTACCCGAAGCGCGGTCGAGGCCGCAACGGAGGACCGGATCTGGTTCTTGCCGTGGATGAAAGACTGGTCGAGGCCAGTGGAACATGGATTCTGGATAGTGGGTCCAGTAGGCACTTAGTGAGCGACGAATCGTGGCTTCAGGACGTCGAAACCTGCAACGACGTGTGCCTGCAGCCGAATGGAGAGCCATTGCGGGTTACCAAGAAGGGCACGGTGTCATTGCGAGTGACTGCGTGCGGCGCCGAGAGGACAGTAAAGCTCACGGATGTGTACTACGCTGCGGGCGTGATACACAACCTGATTTCCTACGGGAAACTCGATGAAAAGGGTTACACACTGACTTACAAGGGCGGAAGGCGCGTCGTGGCCGCCAAGGTCGACGGGTCCGTCGCGTTCGACGTGCATCTGCGTCGTAACGTGCTCGTGGTGCAAGGGTCTGTGGAAACGAAGGGCCTGCTAACGTCCGAGGTGATCATGGCGACTTTGGACGAGGAAGTGAACGCGTCTGAGGACGTGTCGAGCACAGTGCAGAGAGGCACGCTCGTGGACTTTCACAAGCGCCTGGGGCACCTGAACTTTGATGCCGTGGAGCGTCTGGCACGTGACCCGAGCTCTGGGATTGAACTCACAGATCGCAAGAGAGTGAACTGCTTGGCCTGTGCGCAGGGCAAGCAAACGAAGAACAAACAGTCGACCAAGGACAGTGGCGAACACTCGCCGATCGACCGTATCGGCGGAGTGATCTGTTCTGACCTCAAGGGGCCTTTGACGCCGAGAGATCGGTTGAACAATCGCTACATGATCAACTTTGTGGATCATAAGAGTAACTATTGTAGGGTGTTTTTAGCACGGACGAAGGACGCTGCCGTGAAGCAGTTCGAACACTTCTTAGTGTTCTTCGAGCGAGAATTCAACTGCAAGATACGCGTGTTGCGTACAGACTCAGGTGGCGAATACGAGAACGTCGGATTGTTCTGCAAGAGGACAGGGGTATTGAGGCAACGAAGCGAAGCACGGAACCAGGTCAGCAATGGAAAAGCGGAGAGAATGCATCGCACCATAATGAACATGGCGCGTTGCATGATCTTCGCGTGTGGCTTACCATCGAGCTTCTGGGGGGGATGCCGTGCAGTATGCGGCCTACATCTTGAACAGGTCGCCGACCAACTCTAACCCGGGGCGTGCGTCGCCATTGAAGGCGTTGACGAACCAAACACCATCACTAGGTGAGATTGTGGTGTTTGGCTCACCATGCACCGTGTACAGAGACCCGAGAAATAAGAACTTCTCACAGAGAGCTCAGCACGGGATGATCGTGGGCATTGGAGAGGAAACCAAGGGCTACCGCGTGTACTTGCCCAAGGACAAGGTGGTCGTAACGACGCAACACGTCAAGAACATTGAAACATTAGATAAAACGCAAAATGAACAGGTGCAAAGGCTGTACCTGAATGACGAAGAAGTCGCGGCTGAGGAGGAGCCCGCGGGCGAAGCCACGACTGCCGCTGAGGCGGGGAATGCTGAACAGACGCAGACCACGAGTGGTCGTGCGAAGAAGCGCAATAAGAAGGCAAGGAAGAAAGGCTGGACGCGTGAGCGACCAGTTACAAGGTCGGTGGGTAAGAACGCTGAGGAGAAGTCGGACGAGTCTGGCCAGCAGGAGGAGACCCAGCACGATGTGGTGAACAACGTGATCGACGTGGACCCGAGAAACTACGGGGAGGCCATGCGCAGTAGACTAAGAGAGAAATGGCTCAAGGCCATGACTGAAGAGCTGGCGGCTCTGGAAGCCAATGGAGTATGGAAGATTGTAAGGGCGCCACGAGGTGTGCATGTGTTGCACACTAAGTGGGTATACAAGACGAAGAGAGACGCCGAGGGTCTCGTAGAGCGACTGAAGGCGCGTCTAGTGGCGTGCGGAAACGAGCAAGAGTTCGGGGTGAACTTCGGGATCACCTTCGCGGCGGTCATCGAGATGTCCAGCGTGAAGTTGATTTTCGTGTTAGCGAGGAAGTGGAAAGTCCCTGCCAAACACGGAGACGTACCAAATGCATACGTAAAAGCGGATAAGGAAGCCGAGTTGGACATCTACATCCGTATTCCGCAAGGGATGGAGATCCCACGTGAGGTTCTGAGGGCACTAAGAGTAACGAGCAAGGACGAACTCGTACTAGAACTAAGGAAGGCTTTGTACGGCCTGAAACAGGCCGGGCGCCTCTGGAGCAAGCTACTACACAAGAAGTTAGTGGAGATAGTCTTCGTGCAGAGCCTTGTCGACATGTGCGTATACTTCAGGAGGAGGTACGGAGCACTGGTCGTCGTGGGTGTCTACGTAGACGACCTGCTGGTCACAGGCACGAGACAAGAAGCCGTGGACGCTTTCTTCGGTGAACTCGCGTCGTTGTCGGTTAAGGACCTGGGTCAAGCTCACAAGTTCCTAGGTATGCGTGTGACGTACGATGAAGACTGCGGGTACGAGCTAGACCAGGAGGTGACTATCACGGACGTGCTCAAGGAGATGGGGATGGAAAAAGCTCACGGTGTTCGCGCTCCGATCAGAGTCGAATGGAACGAGCTGGCCGATCCGAACGTGGAGTTGTTGCCGGTGGCTGGTGGCAAGGGCTTGGTGACTGTGTCGAAGTTCCAGTCAGTTGTGGGGAGTTTACTCTGGGTATCAAGATGCACGAGGCCGGACATCGCGTTCGCCGTGCACAAGGCGTCACGACGAACGCACAAGCCGACCACGTCCGATTGGAAATTAGCCAAGCGGATACTGCGGTATCTGGCTGGCACAAAAGGCCTGCGTTTGCGAATGCAGGGAGATGGAGCGACGGGAGACGCTCTCAGGGTGGTTGCGTACAGCGACGCCGACTTCGCCGCGGACAAGGAAGATCACAAGTCCGTAACGGGTGGCCTGGTGACGGTGGACGGTATGGCCGTCAGCTGGGTGTGTAAGAAGCAAGGCGGGGTGTCACTCTCAACCATGGAGGCCGAGTACACCGCCGCGTCTGTGTTGGGACAGGAATTGCTTGGAGTGCGCGAGCTGTTGAAGGAGCTGGAGGCCACGTTCGTGGTGCCAATGGAGCTGCGTGTGGACAACCAAGTTGCACTGGCGCAGTTGGAGAACGAGAAGGCGTCGTCGAGTGCAAAGCACATTGACGTACGGATCAAGTTCATCGTTTGTTACACGAAGAACGGAGTGTTGAAACCTGTGTACTGCGAGGGCGAGAAGATGCCCGCAGATCTGCTTACGAAGGTGCTGGATGCGCCGAGGTTGGACGAGCTGAGACTGCTCGTTGGACTGCGTTGCAGAGATCACCAAGAGTCGCGCTACTCTACGAGGAGGAGTGTTGAAAGAGCCGGACCTCTGGCCGGGATGTGAGGAGCCTTAGTACAGTGGAGTGTGAGCGTTGAGCAGCTGCTCTGGATCTGTAGAAGGTGGCTACGAGGAAACGTGTGGCTCAGGAGAGCACAGAGAGGAATCAGTAGGATAGATAATGACAAGTCTAATCTCACTCCCTCTTTTGCATTATCAACCATAAGCGCACCCACGATCTAAGGATCTTTCTACATGGCCGAGCCAGTTCGCGACCAGCGCCGCAGCTACAAGACACCTACCGTCCCCAGCACCTTATCTATGGCTTCTTCTCCTCCATCGTCTCCGACGGTCCGGGCGTTGCCTTCCCCGGCACCGTCTGCCCCTCGCTCGTCGTCCCCACTGCACGGACCGGCCCCCGCGCACGACGTCATTGACGTCGATGATCCGGTGACGAGCTCTCCCCCGCTGCACTCGGCATCCAGTGAGTCTTCGACCAGCCAAGCTCCACCGGCACCGTCCAGTTCGGCCCTCTCCAACCGCTCAGCACTCATATCGCCCAGCCCGTCCATTACCTCCAACTCAGTGCCTTCGGATCCGTCGTCCACCGCCAGCGCAGCCCCGTCCCGTGCCAGCTCGCGACTGGCGGAGCTTAAACGGACCGCCGCCGAACTTGCCGACGTCCGGCGCCAAAAGAGAAGGCTCGTCGTGAACAAGGAGGCCGCGGTAGCGGCTGTCGCTCGTGCAGACGCTATTCCACTCGGTTCTCGCGCCACCCCTCTGCCCCAGCCGCCGGCCTCGGCGTCGGCCATCATGACTCCGTCATCGGCAAGCACAGCATCCCCATCCGCTGAGGCTGCGACCGCCCAGAATCCAGCAACCACGACGCGCACCAAGCCTCCGAAGACCCCGAAGAAGACCAAGAAGCCTACGACACCCAAGTCCAAGACGTCATCCAAGACCAAGAAGGTGGCGGCATCCCCAGCATTGCCCCCAATGAGCGCCAACCGGTCAGCCGCAGCGCCTCAAGCCACGGCGCCCGCCGCATCCTCCGCGCCACAGGCCACAACGCCTACAGCACCTGCAGCACCATCGTCAACCCCCCCTTGAAGCCGCGGCACCGGCCTCGACTCCCAACTCCGCTTCCGAGCTCTCGATGGCGACCCCCATCGGGGATGCCCAGCCACGTCCCGTGAGCTCGCCGTCCATTAGACACACGTCGTCCCCACACCACTCGTCTGTACCGGAGCACCCTCAGCCTGCCATACGCGCCGCCGGTCCCAACCCATCGCGAGCAACCCAGTTAACGCGGGCACCTCGGACACAGCAAACGTTGGCACGGACTCCAGCACCAGTGCAGTCAGCCCGTTCTCCATACACGGGCGAGCTGGAGAGCTCTGAGGAGGACGACTGCTACTCCACTCAGCCAGCGGCGCCCTCACCCCAGGCCCCGCCGACGCATCACGACGCCACCAGTCCCTCCATCGGCATCGGACACCCGAGTGCCCGCGTGAGCTTGACGTACGCGCGCGCCTGGTCGCCCACGCCCGCACCTTCCCCCTTGTCCTCTGACTTGGCAAGCTTTTTCAGCCAGTTCCAGGCCGGCGCACCCGACGGTCACTCCACTTCCGCCCCAGCTCCCTGAGCGACAAATACAGCAGTTAGTCAACCATCATTAACCGTTTTGTTCGAAGAATTTGCTCGCTTCATCCATAATCGACAACACCCTCCACCGCGGCAACCCCACAGCAACTGGTCCCCATGTTCAGCGGCACGCATACCGACTCTAATTCCTGGTCGTTGCCCAATAGCCGCAACGAGTTACCTCCCGTAGCCGTGCGCATCCTCCGCGCTTCCGACTTCGGCTCACCTCTGGTTCGCGCGCGCGGAGACTTCATCCCCTCAGCGGTGTACAGCCTCGCAGCTCATCGACTCTACCCTTTCCTACTGTCTCCAGAGGGAAGGGGAACAACACCGATGGCATTCGTGCTGCGGATGCGCCTCCTGGAGTCAGTGAACTTCCTCGACGCCCCCCATTCTAGGCGCCACTCACAGTGCGCGCTTCGGTCGCTTCGGTATCACAATTATGCACTTCCTACGGGCCGACCGCGCCGCGCAGCTCGCCGCCGGCTCCTCCGACGCCAATTACAGCCTGGAGTTTGGAGCTAACGTAGCTCCACCTCAGGCCCCCAGCTGCCGCAACTACCACGATCTCATTGCTGCGAGCCAAGGCCTCACCACCTTCGCCAACGCAGAATGGTAGGTACCCATGGCTCACGTGCTGTACCGTCTTCGCGACTTCGCGATATGGATGAGGATCCTGAGCACTCCCCCGAGCTCGTGAAGCGCACGCTGGACGAAGTGAATCAATTCCTCGGGCCCACTTTCATTCTTCTGTCCAGCGATTCCCCGACTTGGTGGCGAGACTTCTGTGCCAGCGCACACCGTATCACATTTACCTCCCCATCTTGGGCGATCGCGCTCAGCTCGACGCGGTCTGCGCCAACGGCTGCTACCCGCAGCTCTCCTCCCGTCCGTGCCGCCAACGGACACCGCCAAGTCACTGGTGGCGGCGGAGAGAACTCGCAACCCCGCCCTAGTACCATCCCGCAGAAGTACCGGTCGTTGATCCCACGCAACGCCGACGGACAAGAACCGTGCCTACGCTTCTTCGGGGGTGGCATGTGTTACGGGGGACTTGCGGGTCGCGCACGCGGGTGCACACGTGGCCCGAGGACCTACCTCCTGCCCTGATGGAGTACATTTCGAAGCGGTTCGGCCATCGCGACGCCGGCAACCGTCGCCGCAATTGACGGGGACGAGGTGCTGCTGGTTCGCCAGCACTTCGGCGCACCGTCGATAGACTTAATTCGAATACACATAATTCGCACACAAGTCCGTCAACACGCGAACCTTCTCTTGCAACCGTGGTACGGCTTACGATCCCTAGTCCGCCTGCGCCCAGTGTGCACCATCTCAGCACGGTGGTACATTCCGGTGAGAGCCCTGTCGTCTTCCAGGGCGGGCATTCCACCGACGCGTTCTCCGAGGTTGCTGTCACGCTTGCCGGCGAGAGTCCTCACAAACGAGGTCATTCCGTCGACGCGGCGCCCCCACACAATCCGCTGCTGCAACAGCAGACGCCCCCTTCCGGCGAGAACCTGGCGCCGATAGCGCGGGCCATTCTGCCGAAGGAGGTTCAATCCCCAACCCCAGCCCACGATCCCCCCCCCCCCCCCCGCCCCCCCCCCCCCCCCCCGAGCAAGCGACTCCGTATCTGGCGCGGGTCGAGCAACCTGGAAGAGCACCTCCGACGGCTGCCGACCTCGCAGCCTTGACTTACAACGGCAAGCAGCGTGAACGGCTATGGGAAGCGATCCGGAGGTCGTCAGTGGCAATCGCGTTCAAGCGCGTAGGTGTGGACCTGCCTTCAGTCTCACTCGTGCACCATAACCAGCTCCCAGAAGGCGAATTCCAGCTCAACAAGCCACTCCAAGCCGCCATGTCCAAGTACATACGGCGCGCCCGGCCATCTCTCCAAAAGTTCGTCGAGCTCGTTCGATGCCAGACTCCAGGCGACTACCGGCCAAACAAAGCCATCCTTCCCGGACTGTTGCAACGCACCTGTCAAGGGTACCCGAAGCTGGACGCTCTTCTCCGCATCGCAAACGAGGGCGCCCGAATCGACCTCATTCGACCGCTGCCCAAGCAGGATGGGTTCCCCCGGAACCACCCTTCAGCGGTCGAGCGCATTAACGTCCTCCGGCGCAACATCCGGAAAGAGCAAGATCTATGGAGATGCCTAGTTGTTGACGCCGACATTATCACTATCTGGCCAGAGATCTTCATTAGTCCCTTCGGAGTCGTCGATAAGGGCGAGGGGGATCCGAGCACCACCGGCAGGGTGATCCACGACCTGTCATCCCCCGATGGCGAATCCGTGAACCATCTCACTGACCGCTCCACCGTGACTGACGTGACTTTTGAACACTGCTCGAGTATTGCCCGCGAGATATCTAAGTGCACCCGCCAAAATCCCGGAGCGGATGTGAAAGTCATGGCCGGAGATATAGCTTCCGCGTACCGCAACGCCTGCACACACAGTGCATGCGTATTTGCGTGCGCTGGTCACATCCCCGAAGACAACGCGATCATCATTGACCTGTCGGCTGCGTTCGGGTGGGCCGGCTCAGCGGGCACTTACAGCGTCTTGGGTGGCGCAGTCGCCTTCATCCACGGAAGCAGCCCCGACGCCGCGCACCCAAACAGATACTACAACTACCACTGGGTTGACGACCACGTCAACGTGACGGCCGACATCGGGTCGTGCTGCGCCGACGTTGAGCGATCACTTCGCTTTGCAGTGGCAGCTGTCATGGGACCATCAGCCGTGAACGAAGACAAGTTCTCCCCATGATGCACTCGCCAAAAGGTGCTGGGGCTCATCTTCGACACCTCTCCAGCTACCGTCGCAATACCTGCGTCTAAGATAACCAAGGCACGAAACATGATCGCCAATGCTCTACAGTCCGACAAGCTATCACGCAGCAAGTTCCGGTCACTCCTCGGCTCCCTGCGCCATGTGGCAACGTGCATCAGACCTGCACGGTCATTTCTCCAACGTCTACGTGAAGGTGAGCAGAGGTTGCATCGCTACGCGAACGTAAGGATCTCACCACCAATGCGCGACGATCTCCTTTGGTGGCGGTACATTCTCCACAACCCGCTCCTGAATGGGGTGCCACTTTGCTACTTTTACGCTCTCCCCGAACCCGACTTTACAGTGTTTACGGACTCGTCTGACGAAGGGATCTGCGCACTTGTCCCAGCACTCCGTCTTGCCCTTACCTACCGTTTCTCAGCGGCGGAGATCCAACTCATTCGAGATCTTAAACGCGGAGCCGACAACGGGTTTGACATCAACTACCGGGAGCTATTAGCCTGCGCGTTTGCGGTCCAAGCGTGGGGAGAGGTCTGGCAAGCAGCTTGTTCCCGAGGACGCCCCACACACATCCACATCCGCGTTGATAACATCTCGGCGATATCATGACAGTCCAAGATATCAACGCGCAACAAGCGCGCCCAAGTCCTCATTCGCCTACTCGGCGTCTGGGAGGTGCAGTACGGCCTCCGATTCTCAGCATCCCATATTCCAGGCGCCGAGAACACCGCAGCCGACGCGGGCTCCCGACGATGGGAGA